TTTCTGATTGTATTTATTGAATCTTCACCTTTTTTTTTGATGAGTCTTTCTAAGCTTTATCATTTTTTTGTTGATGTTTTCAATGAACCAACTGCTGGTTTCATTGATCTGTTCTATTGCTTTGTTTTTTTAGTCTCTTTATAACCTGGTTTTGGTAGATGTATGTTTCTAGGAATTTGTCCATTTTATTTAGGTTGTCCAGTTTGTTGATATATAAATGTTCATAGCATTCTTTTATAAACTTTTTTATTTTTGTAAAATGGCAGTAATATCCCTACTTTCTTTTCTCTCTCTCTCTTTTTTTAGTCAGGGAGAATTTTCTTTCTCTCTTTTTTAAAAATTAAAATTCAAGTTAGTTAACATATAGTATTGATTTCAGGAGTACAATTTATTGATTCATCACTTACACATAACACCCAGTACTCACCCCAACAAGTGCCCTCCTTATGACCATCACCCATTTAGTCCATCCCCCACCGACCCCCCTCCAGCAACCCTCTGTTTGTTCTCTATATTTAAGTCTCTTATGGCTTGCCTCCCTCTCTGTTTTTATCTTATTTTATTTTTCCTTTCCTTGCCCTATGCTCATGTGTTTTGTTTCTTAAATTCCACATATGAGTGAAATCATATGGTATTTGTCTTTCTCTAACTGACTTATTTCGCTTAGCCTAATATTCTCTAGTTCCACCCACCTCATTGCAAATGGCAAGATTTCATGCTTTTTGATCACCGAGTAATATTCCATTATATATATGTGCCACATCTTCTTTATCCATTCATCGGTCGATGGACATCAGGGATCTTTCCATGTTTTGGCTATTGTGGACATTGCTGCCATAAATATTGGGGTACACATACCCCTTTGAATCACTATGTTTGTATCCTTTGGATAAATACCTGGTAGCACAATTGCTGGGTCATAGGGTAGCTTCATTTTTAACTTTTTGAGGAACCTCTATACTGTTTTCCAGAGAGGCTGCACCAGTTTGCACTCCCACCAACAGTGTAAGAGTGTTCCCCTTTCTCCACATGCTTGCCAACATCTGCTGCTTCCTGAGTTGATCGTTTTAGCCATTCTGACAGGTGTGAGGTGATTTCTCTTTGTGGTTTTGAGTTTTATTTCCCTGATGTCAAGTGATGTGGAACATCTTTTCATGTGTCTGTTAGTCATCTGGATGTCTTCTTTGGAAAAGTGTCTATTCATGTCTTCTGACCATTTCTTAACTAGATTATTGGTTTTTTGGGGTGTTAAGTTTGATAAGTTCTTTATAGATTTTGGATAGTAGTCCTTTATCTGAAAGGTCATTTGCAAATATCTTCTCCCATTCTGTGGGCTGCCTTTTAGTTTTGTTGATTTTTTCCTTCTCTGTGTAGAAGTTTTTTTATCCTGAAGAAATCCCAATAGTTCATTTTTACTTCTGCATCCCTTGCCTCTGATGACATGTCTAGTAAGAAGTTGCTGTGTTGAGATCAAAGAGGTTGCTGCCTGCTTTCTCCTCTAGGATTTTGATGGATTCCTGTCTTACATTTAGGTCTTTCATCCATTTTGAATTTACTTTTGTGTAGAGTGTAAGAAAGTGGTCCAGTCTCATTCTTCTGCATGTCACTGTCCAGTTTTCCCAACACCATTTGTTGAAGGAACTGTCTTTTTTCCATAGGATATTCTTTCCTGCTTTGAAGTTTAGTTGGCCATAAAGTTGTAGATCCATTTTTGGGTTCTCTATTCTGTTCCATTGGCCTATGTGTCTGTTTTTGTGCCAGGACCATACTGTCTTGTTGATTATAGTTCGGTAATACAGCTTGAAGTCTGGAATTGTGATGCCTCCAGTTTTGGTTTTCTTTTTCAACATTCCTTTAGCAATTCAGGGTCCAAACAAATTTTAGAATTGTTTGTTCCAGCTCTGTGAAAAATGCCAATGGTATTTTGATAGGGATTGCATTGAATGTGTAGATTGCTTTGGGTAGCATAGGCATTTTAACATTTGTTCTTTCAATTTATGAGCATGGAATGTTTTTCCATTTTTTTGTGTCTTCCTCAGCTTCTTTCCTAAGTGTTCTATAGTTTTCAGAGTACAGATCCTTTACTGCTTTGGTTAGGTTTATTCCCAGGTATCTTATGATTTTTGGTACAATTGTAAATGGGATAGATTCCTTTATTTCTCTTTCTGTTGCTTCACTACTGGTGCATAGAAATGCAACAGATTGCTGTATGTTGATTTTATATCTTACCACTTTGCTGAATTCCTGTATCAGTTCTAGCAATTTTTTGGTGGAGTCTTTCAGGTTTTCTACATAGAGTATCATATTGTCTATGAAGAAGGAAAGTTTGACTTCTTTGCCAACTTGGATGTCTTTTATTTCTTTTTGTTGTCTGATTGCTGAGGCTAGGACTTCCAGAACTATGTTGAACAACAGTGTGGACATCCCTGTCATGTTCCTGACCTCAGGGGAAACTCTCAGTTTTTGTCCACTAAGGATCATACTAGCTGTGAGTCTTTCATATATGGCCTTTATGATGTTGAGGTATGTTCCTTCTATCCTACTTCCATTTCTGATTTTAGTACTTTGAGTATTCTTTTTGTTTCCGACCTAACTAGAGATTTGTCAATTTGGTTAATCTTTTCAAAGAACCAAATTGACTTTTTCTATTATTTATCTATTCTCCATTTTATTTATATCTATTTTAAGCTTTATTATCTCCTTCCTTCTGCTGACTTTGAGTTAGTTTTCTCTTCTTTTTCTAATTTCTTAAGGTGTAAAATCAGGTTATTGACTTGAGATCTTTCTTCCTTTTTAATTTATGGACTCTTTATTCAGCCATGTTGAACCTGCCAATGAGCCCGTCTAATTCTTCATTTCTGTTACAGTATTTTTTATTTCTAGCATTTTATTTTGATTTCTTTCTTACAATTCTTTAAGTTTATGTTACCACGGGTTATTGCATCTTGTCTACTTTTTCTCATTAGAGCTCTTAACATATTAACAATACTTATAATACTTATTTGATAATTCCAACATCTTTGAGTCTGGTTCTGATGATAGCTTTGTCCTTCTGACTTTGTTTCTTCTTGACTTTAGCCAACTTTATAAATTTTTGTTGAAAGCTGGACATGTTGTATAGGGTAATAGGTACTGAGGGAAATAGACTTTTAGTGTAAGGAATTAACTAATCTGGCTAAGAGTTAGTCGGTTTTAATATTTGTCATAGCTAGGCACCAAAGGCTTCATATTACTCTAGTATATTTAGAGGAGGGATATCTATACATCCCTCCTTCTCCTCCCCCCTCCTCCTTTTCCTTCTTCTCCATTGTCACTGTCTTCTCCTCCTCCTCCTCTTCCTTCTTCTCCTTTTCCTCTTCCTCCTTTTCCTTCTTTTTCTGGCTTCCCTTTGTTCTGGTCCTTAGATGGAATCTTTGTCTTGCAGCTCTTTTAGTTGTAACCCACTGTTATTATTACTGGATGCTATTAGTGTTGTGGTAGGGTGAGTGGGTAGGGTGGGAAAGAAAAGGATGTTCCCTTATCTCTTAAGCTTCGAAATAAGTCTCAGTAATTTTTGGGCTTGTGCCTCAGGGGTGGGGTTAAACCTTCAAAAGACTTTCTGTTTCCAGTCTATTTTCTTGCAGTCCCCTCCCAAATGACTATACCTTACCTTATGTATTTACTTATTCACTTACTCACTCTTACATGAGACAGGAAGGTTGGAAAGGACTGGAGTTTGTGGAACTCCCTTCCTTCAGCTTGGAAAAGTTTCAGAATAGCCCTCTGGAGAAGTCCCTCCCCTGTGAGGTAGACCTGCTAGGAGAAGGGTCTGGAGGGTTTTACAGTAGCTACTTTTCCATCCCCTCTGCCATGCCTATCTTCACCCTGAAAACTTGATGTGGTTCCTAGAGGAAAGGGCTATGAAAGCATATGCCCCCCTTTACTGTCCAACCCCCCAGCTTCTTACTCACCCTGCAAGAGCTTGTCAAAATTACTTTTTAACTCTTCCTACCAGTTTTTGTCATTTTGCAGCTTCTGCTCCAGGTCTTGGTTGTTGTATTTCTCTGAATGCACCTGTTTCTCCATGTTTCAAGGAAGTTATTTGCCCTGTTTTATGATGGATCAAGAAAAGTCATTCATTTTGTTTGTCCAGGTTTTTCTTATTGTAAGGATAGGAATGACAATTTTCAAGGTCTTACATATAACAACAACAACAAAACCACCTTTCCCCTCCCAAATATGGGTGTGGGTGATATGTCCCTATCACCATGGAGCCTAGGGCATTAACATCAGAGCCTCAGGACAGTTGGGCCTTGGGTGGGTACAGGAAACAGGATGTGTTGTTCATTTTTAAAATGCATCTTCTCATTATTTTCATTTTTACAGTTTTTAAGAGGACTTTAATAAAGAGGATTTAGGGAATAAAGAAGTGAGCACAGCATTGTTTGTAACAGCAAAAATCAAAATAACTTGAATATCCATAGGAGAATGTTTAAATTAATTGTTACCTACAGGAGACTGTTGTGGAGGTGTTCAAGAGAATGGAGAAACTGCTTGCTGCTGGTACCTGCTAAGAAGATGTCTGAGAGAGAGAGAGAGAATGACAGCAGGCAGGAGCAGAGTGGGGAGGGGCAGAGGGAGAGGGAGAAGCCAGACTCTCCAATGAGCAGTGAGCCAGATGCTGGCTCCATCCCAGGACCCCGGGATCATGACCTGAGTTGAAGGTAGATGCTTAAGTGAAATAAGTCAGTCAGAGAAAGACAAATACCATATGATTTCACTCATATGTGGAATTTAAGAAACAAAACACGTGAACATAGAAGGGAAGGAAAAATAAAATAAGGTAAAAAAGAGAGGAAGGCAAACCATAAGACAATTAAATATAGAGAACAAACAGAGTTGCAGAGGGGAGGTGGGTGGGAGGATGGGGTAACTGGGTGATAATCATTAGGAGGGCATGTGATGTAATGAGTAGTGGGTGTTATATGCAACTGATGAATCACTAAACTCTATCTCTGAAACTAATGATACACTATATGTTAATTGATTTTAAATAAAAAAGATGTCTGTGATGCGCTGTGCAGTAAAAAGGATTAAAGTTCGTGTTTGTTTATGTCACAGACGCAAAAAGGGTCTGAAGACACATCTAGTGTTTGAGAAGGTCAGGGAAATGGAGGCTCAGCACTTCACATAGTTTGGATTGGTTGTAGTAAATGGGAATTAGTTTTGTAATCAAAACAACAGAAGGATAAAAGAAGGAAGGAGACTCACTTTTTATTGTTTTCTGTGTCTTTTGAGTTTTGTATCCTGTATTTATCCCAATTCCATAAAAAGTAAAATAAAATAAAATAAGAAACCAGGAAAGGTAAGATGTTCCCCCCCCCCAATGTAGTTCACTGGGTCTTCCTCAGCATGTGCTGGCCTTTACCCCTTTTCAGCGCCTCCCTCCTGATCTCTGTCCAGCCTTCCTGGTGCACCCCAGGCCACCCTACTATAGGCTCAGGCCACCCCCACCATTAGGGCAGGCTGGGAGGTTGCCTGGCCCCCTCCCAGCACCTCTCAGTATCCAGTGCAACCTTGGAAGGCTGGAAGATTGAAAGGCACAGTGCACAGGCCTTAGGGTGTACCCCAGTCCTCTGCTTGTCACTGTGTGACCCTGGGGAGTCACTTAGACTCTGTGAGACATCTATGAGCTGGAGTTTTACTTTATATGGGAGAAACAACCTCCTATAATTTCTATAGCCATGTATAAATGAGAGGGTTAGAAATGACCAGAATTCTGAAAATACCCCACAGGCCTCTGCTACTCCCAGCACCGGGCTAGGCACTTATCCCAGGAGCTGGCCCAGCAGTTCCATTCTTTCCTCTCAGTGGGTCACCTGAAGAACATGCCCCATCAGACTGGCACTGCCTGTACCCCTCTTGCAGGGGAGGGCATCCCAAGAGGTGGGATGTAGAAAGAGATGGTCTGAGGCTTCCTCAGACCCACTGGACACAAGAGAAAGGGAAGGCCCTCCTCTGTTCTCTCAGCAAGGTACCTGGTAGGCCACTGCTGTAATCTCCCACCACATTGCAGAGAATGAAAATTTCTAGGGTGTCAGGATTGCTTAAGATGCTTCCCATAGTGAGAGCCACTGCGCTGGTGGTTCCTCTCAGGCAGGCATGACCTCAGTTCCTTTTCTCTGCTGCTCTGTTGCTAGGTCACTGCAGACTACCTTCACCATAACCTCTGGGTCCTGGACCTCCTTGGTTTCTACCTTTATCAGCACTCTTGGGACTGGCTGGATTCTCCCCACCAGTCACCATGTCACATCAAGGAAACACTCCCTCAGAACTCCTGCAAGGTAAAAACAACTCTGCCACTCTTCAGACACAGGCTCACATTCAATAAGATATCAGAAAACCATGAGGAACCTTTTGATATTTCATTCTTTCAACAAGTAAATATGTACTGAGCCCTTGCTCTGCTCAGGTGCCGTACAAAGTGATAAGGACCATGATTAAATGAGGGATGCCCCTGCCCTCAGGCACTCAGGTTGCTTACAGGGAGACAGGCAGCTGGTACCCAGAGGGTGCCCTGGAAGAAGGGAGTAGTGAAGGCTTTGAAAGAGTTCACTGCAGGAGCTCAGCAAGAGAACTTCTATAGCCTCGTGAAGAGCTGGGCCTTAGGAGCCAATGGATGGGATTCAAACCTCATCGACCCCACATACTAGCTGCGTGTGTTCATGGGCAAGTCATATCAGCACTTTGTGCCTTGGTCTCCGTATCTGAAAAATGAAAAATGAAGACAACTGCATTCAGGCTGATACAGGGATGAGGTAAACTATTCCATGTATAACCTGCTCCTGGCACAGCTCTATAATGCTAATCATTTGTGGAAGTCCTGGGAGGGGGAATCACGTGTGGTTTTCCAGGAAGACTGGCCCTGACCTTCCCTCAGTGTTCCAGGAATGGGCCTGGTCAGGAGCCTATAGGAGCACACAGTAGGCCCAAGTAAACAGTTGTTAACAAGGGCTACAGAGCCTTTTCTAGTCTGAAATGAAGCCTCAATCAGGAGAGGCACCAGCCTGTGGTCAGCTGTCAGACAGCATCCCTCTGGCTGGAATTTCTCCCCCACCATCTGACCTACCCCTTTCTACGATGACCTTTCCTCTAGAAACAGTTTCATGTCTGTGGCATACCATCCTTCGCATCTCACTGCAGCATGTCGGGTGAGGTAGGATCTAATCATAGAGAAACTCGAGGCATGGTCTGTCACTGTGCCTGACGTCCTGACTCTTGCCCTTCCTGAGGCTGCGGGCCACCTTTCCCCTCCACGATTCTGAATATTTGGTACTGTGCATGTTGTTGTGGCTTTCAGGAAGATGAGAGTTATAGCTCCATTCCAAGGTAAGTTTTCCTGAAGGGGGAGGCAAAGATGCTGACCATGTGGAGGGGCGAGAATGGCAGAGTTGTGGACAATCAATCAGCTTCTGCCCTGAGAACATCCTTGGCTTCATTTAGAGGAGCTGGGGAAAATTACTGGTCTGATTTGTAATAGAGAATTCACTAACACCCATTGACTAAGGTCTGCAGGGTCTAGCCCTAGCAGGGTTGTTGTCTGCTGATTAAAGGCCTTAATGAGATGAGGCTGGTCCTGCTTCTCATTCCCACAAGAAGTCCTTCAGGGCCCCAGTACATTGTGGCTACTTGTCCTGGGGGTAGAGAGCAGGCTGGTGTGGGGCCAGTGGACATTCCTGAGCTCATCCACAGCACCCCATCCTGCCTGTCTCCCACTCTGCCTCCCACCCATAAGCCTTAGACTACACATTTATTTTTCTCAAGCCCTATGCAGACTTCTTGGCTCCCTCTACTTCCCATTTATAAGATGTACTGTTATCTTCCCATCAGTTTCAAGCCTGAGCTCCTCTCTCTAACATGCTGTATGAGAAGCCAGGTGTGGCCACTTCACAGCCAACTGGGATTCAAGTCTTCATTTCTTTGTGGGGAAATCAGTGAGGCACACTTTGAGAGCAACAGCAGCTGTGCAGCTGTCCTTGGCCTTGGGCTGCCCAGTACCTGGTCTGGCTGAGCTGGTTCAGGCATGGCTGTTCCACATTAAAATGCTTTGCTCCACTTGCCTGTGTCCTGCTACCCCCACCCACCAACAATCCTTACATCAGGGACAAAGGGTGGAGATTTGGGTGTTAGGTTCTCTTGAATGTGGCCACAAAGACACAGTTTCTGGTGAGTGAGGCCCCATGCTATAGGTGAGGCTCAGCCATGCTGGTCTGGGGGCTCCTATTTCCGGTTGGTTGCAGAGGAGGCCTTCATGGGCCAGGAAACTGTAGCAACTTTCTGGGGCACTTGCAGAGGGGGCTCACTTGTACTGGCTGTTGGAGGTGATGTCTAGGATTCCTGGCAGTTGGCCCCAGGGGCTCAGCTGGATAGTAGGGCCAAGAGGGGCTACAAATCTAGCTGGCCCCTATGTATCACCTGCTCCACAGCCCTTGAACTGAGCTGCAGGGGCTGGTCATCCATAGAGGCATGATGAGCCTGGGCATCCATCCTGGTGGGCTCCACCCTGAGCTGGCTAAGGCCCAGGACGTGGCCTGGGCACCTCTGGTCCTGTGGGCTGTGGAGTGGACTAGCCAGGGAGGGCAGGCCACACACAATCGGCATGCTAGGGAAGCTGTTAGTCTGTTTCTGCTGGAGAATATCAGAGCCTCTGGCCTGAGGGTGCCTACAGAACTCACTGCTTGTGTCCTGCCTTGGGGACTGTGTCGTAGGGGGCTGGCAGTCTGGGTGGATGTGCAGGGCTGCAACCTGGGCCACACAGCCTGTCAGGGTGGGCTCTACATTGAGGGTGCTTCCGCCAGGACCTGGCCTCCAGGGACCTTGGAAACACTCCAGATTCCCAGGAGGCCTGGGCTCCTGGAAGCCAGGCCAAGGGTTTGGGACCTTATTTTTGCTAGAGGTGTCTTTTGTTGCAGAGGCTGCAGACCCCACAGAGGAGAACAAGCCTTCATGGCAGCCTTGCATCTTTCCTTCTCCAGAGACCTGCACACACTCCAGAGATGGGTCCCTGGACAGAGTGCTGGTTCCCTGCTCGGGCCCTCCTAGGACCTTGCTTTCTCCAGCAAGCAGGCCCTTGGGACCCGAATGTGCCCACAGCTCCCGCCTGCTGGGTGCTGAGCCCACAGCGGTCCTACCTGCATCTGAAGCCCTAGCCCCCCTGCCCTCCAGCTTCACTGGATGTGGGCCCTTTTTCTCGGAGCCAGCTCCCACCTTCTCTGCCTGTCCCCTGGGTGAGGTTGCAGTTTCTCCAGGGGCTGAGGCAGGTGGGGTGCGGAGTTCAGGGCCACGGCGAAGCCAGTTGATAATGCCCATGGTGATGGCAAGCTCGGTGTCACAGAGTTTTAGCAGGCACTCCTTGCCCTTCCAGGAGCTTTGCAAAAAGCCCTGGCTGAGCAGGTCTGGGCCTGGTGCTGGGGCCAAGTTCTCCTCTGCCCCCACATGGAAGCTGCACATGGACAGTGGTGCTCCTAGGGCTGGCCCTGACAGACTCTCAGACACACATAGGTCATCATCCAGGCTTGGGCCAACAGGGCCCTCGCTGGGGTCATAGAAGAGCTCGTAGAGGGCATCTCCACTGTAGCTGTCCCGGGGGAAGGCTGCTGGTGTGCCTGGACTTGAAGCCTCCTTCTTGTCCTCCTCAAGGCCAGGTGAAAATGAGTCATAGTAGCCCTCATCACTCGTGGACACGGATTCTGGCTGCTCACTCTTAGGGGTACCTGTGTCTATGGAGCTGGCTTTGGAGCCACTGTGGGGGTCCCTACAGGGACACAGGGGTAGCTCAGCAAGCCCAGCTGCATCCAGCCTGGGCCGGTCTGTGTCTGTGCCCTGGGGACCCCCCAGCCATGGCCCCAGTAGGGCACGGTGCTGCTGCTTCACAGAGTGATTCACACTGTCCCAGAACTTGGCAAAGTCAGACAACTCGTTTTGGGCAGGTGATGCCGGCTGTTCCACACTGCCCTGGAAAGGGCCCCTAAGAACCTTGCTTTCAAGGGCCTGTGATACCTGGGTTGGGCTCTCTGGGCCCTCATTCAGTTCCAGGGATGGCACTGAACTTTCATCTGCAAAGATCTCCCCACAGCCCGTGAGAGAGTCAAAACTCTTGAGTGAGGCCACATCCTCACATAGGGCCCTGCAGAGGTCAACAGAAGAGTCAGGCAGGAGCTCATTGTCAGATAGGTCCTGGAACAGGCTGTCGGGCCCCAGTCCCTCACCTAAGGGGAAGAAGGCTTTGCCTGTCTGCCCACTAGCCTCTGATGGGCCCCCAGGGGAAGACAGGCTCTCCCCCTTGGTCACCAGTGAGGCCAAGTTCTCAGTCTTGTTTCTGCGAATGTGGAATAGGTTCCGAAAGCACTTCTTAGGTCGTTTCAGGGAGATCCTCTTCCTTGGGATGCTCTTGGCCACAGCGGGCACAAAGGGCATCTGGGGCACAAAGTGGCGGTAATCAATCATGCGCTGGCTGCTGGGGGGCCCTGGGAAGCTTGCACTGCCCACCAGCTGCCCTGTGGTTGTGCTCGCCCTGCCAGCCCCAGGCACACTGTCATGAGTCTTGCTCTTTCGTACCAGTTTGAAGGTGGCCCCACAAAAGGCTGCAGCCCCCACCTCAGGTTCTGGCTCTGCTTCCTTGTTGGAGCATCTGTCATATCCTTGGGCGCTGGGACTAACCTGCGGGGCCCTTTCACTCTGGGGTTTCTGTTGCCCTCCTGGTGAGACTGACAAGGGACTTGCATCCTCCCTGGCCAGAGTGGCGGCTGCTGGATCTGGGGCTTTCTCATGGGAAATCTGCAGGCTGGATTTGATGAAGGTCTTTCCTCTCTTCAGCTCCATGCTGCCAGGGCCCCAGGCTGCTGTGAAGGAAAGTAGGAGGCACTTAGTATCCAAGATGTACGCCTATGGCACTCTGCTTACACAGTGGCTTTGGAGCTGAGCTCTGACATCTAAACCTGGATCCTCCACAGAGGCAGGGAGAGGGAGATGAGAATGGCCTCACCCATGCTCACTGCTCCAGGGCTACCCACTGCTCCACAGAAAACTGATATTAGAGAAGTTAAGGGCTACCCACTGCTCCACAGAAAACTGATATTAGAGAAGTTAAGTCACATGCTTAAAGTCACAGAGTAGGAGCCAAATTGAGAGCAGACTAGAGTCTGGTGCTCTTGTGTCTGTGATCTCTCAACTCAACCAAGCATCCTCTCAGAGTTTATCTGGCCAAGTCAGATTCCCATTTCCAGGCCCAGGCATTCTACAAATAGCACCACATCCTTACAGGGAAAGTATCACAGCCTTTCTGAGTGGTGGAGCAGAGGATTCAATAAATAAGTTCCTGCCTTCATCTAAGAGACAAAGCTCAAAGGGAAACCTAAGCTTGCCTTTTGGGATGGACGCAGGTGCTCATCAGTTGGAAGGGAAGACACAAACACTGCCCTCCAGGGCTACTGCATCTGTCTGAGGAGGCAAGACTCAGTCTACACAGAGGCCATCAGGGCAAGGCACAACAAAGCATCTAATGGTGCATGCTGGGTTTGAGCACCGAGAAGAGAGACAGCATCATGGTAGAAGGCAAAAGTGAGGAGTCAGGCATTAGGCCAGGACCAGGCAGGTTAGATAGACACAGCAATGATGGGCTGGAGAGCAGGCAGGTATCACTTTCTGTGCACATCCTGAGAGGTGTTGATGCCTGGAGTGCCATCCACAGTGCCACATACGGATCCCAGTCTGAGTCCAATGGGAAAGGGTGTTGGGATTGATTACTGATGTCTGTCCTGGGTGTGGGAGGGGGAAGACAGTAAGAGTGTTATCTTGACCATTTTTTCATAACTGGGGAGTGTGGCCTTCCTCTGAGGTCAATGAAAAGCTATAAAAGTCTTCTGAGTGAGTGGGTGGGTAGAAACAGTGGCATAATAAAGTTGGTGGTCTAAGACCATTTATCTGATATCTGAGTGAAGGACAGAATAAATTAGGAGAGAAATTTTGAGCAGAGAAGATTCACAAAAGGCAACTAAAGTGGGTTGAGTATGTGAAGACAAGATCCAGATGGAAGCTGTTGTCATAAGTCACAAAAAAGAGGTGAAGTTATAGGGCCTTTCAAAGGCAGAAACGCTAGGACCCAGCAACTGAATAAAGAAAGAGAAGTCATCAACAATGAGGAAGCAGTAAATACTGACCCAGAATTGGGAAAAGGTGAGGAAGTAGAAACTGAGTGAAGGCAAGGAAGGGGCCTGTGCTAAGAGCTGGTTTGAGACAGAAGCAAGACTCTAAGGTTTTAAACATGTTGCCTTTGGGGCGAGTTTAGAGACCTACAAGAGTGGACCAAAAGAAGGTGATGCCCAAGAGCAACACCTGTGAACTTCCCTGGATTCTCCCTCTCTGTATCCTCACAGGCACCCAGCTCACAGCTCAGCCTGTTCCAGCAGCTCTTCCTCTCCTTGGTGGTGAGCAACCTGCCAGTCCATCCTGTCAGTTTGGCCAAGGAAAGATCAGAGGAGAGAGTTGGGTTTCTTTGACTCTCCATAGGGACTTGCTTAATAAGGAGCACCTGAATTCACTCCCCCACAGTTCGCAGTCTGTGAGGGAGGGATGCAGTGGGTATAAAAGCAAGTGGCTCTGTCAGCCTGCATGCCTTTCAGATCTACTGCCCACAAAGCTTTGCAGCTACCTTCAGAAAACTGCTTGACAGATATGAGCTATCCAGGTCAGTTCTGGAGTCTCTCAAATGCTTAGCCATGAGGACCTGGAGGTGAGCAGAGGGGCTGCCTCACAGCCCAGTTGACAACATTAAAGCTGAAGAAGATGAGAAGGGGTGACAAGGCTGCCATTTCGGGGGCTCACAGGGGCAAGCTGACCAGCCTCCACCCTACTCCCACCTATAGGCAGTGCTTCCTCCCCTGCAGAGGGACACGTGGGACTTCTGGCTGGAGGATAGGAGGAGTCAGCACTGTGCCAGGGAAAACCACAGACCAGACTTGGCTCTGGTGGCAGCTCAGCTCTTGGTGACAGCATCCTAGACAGTGGGACAGTGCTTCAAGCTGCCTTTCTGCTTCCTGTGAGGTGGAATGTGCCCAAGCCTTTCCTACCCTATATCTGCAGATCCCATTGTCATTCCCCACAGTCCTTTGTGGCCTAGATAAGTTCTTCCCCAGGTCTGATGGGTTTTACTATACACAGCATAGTGGTTACTATCAGGACTTTGGAGTTGAAGAACCCAGATTTGAGTCTTGGTTGCATCTACCTAACCAGGTGATAGCTTGGCGTATAACCTTATGAGACATACTACTGTAACCTCCATTTTATAAAGGAGAAATTAAGGTCCGGAAAAGTCAATAGATTGGCCCAGGTTGCACATGTGGTAAGCGACAGAACTAAGATTTGAAACCAAGCCCATCTGATTCCGATCATGTGCTCTTAACCACAGTAGACATTCTATAAACCAATAGCCCAAACTCCTCTTCATGGGAAATTTAAAAATCAAATAATAAATGTGTTTTTATGAAGAATTTTGGAAAGCACAATGAAAACGGTGATCAAAATCAAAGTATGGCTCACACAAATTTAGAAAAATTGTAATTGAAGATAATTTCTATGACAAGAAATTTTAGAGATTATTTATTATGAGATCTCTTTTCTATGTTTTAAAAAACCTTTTTATTACCATACTCTTAGAAATAACTTGAAGTGAGCATGACAAAGATTACTTCACTGTAAGCAGAAATTGCAACTATAAGAACTAAGATGGTTTACCTGATATTGATCTCTATAAATAAAACTGATTTCTTAATCCTGAATTCAGTTAACTGATTTAAAATCACGAAGAACTGGATATTTCACTATATTTTGAACTTGAAAACTGATGTCTCAAAATAACAATCATTTCTACAGATGGCTGGACTCAGTGTCACTAATGTTGCCAACTCTGTTTCCTGAGTTCATTTAACACTTTGGCACATTGATAGGGCAATAAGCACTAAGACTCAGAATAATGATTGAGAGACTTGCAAAATACTGGAGCAATTATGTGAAATTCAGTGTATGTTCAGTGCAGATTCTACATTAAAATATTTTTTTTCTTTTTTTTTTTAAAGATTTTATTTATTTATTTGAGACAGAGAGAATGAGAGACAGAGAGCATGAGAGGG